CGTCCCGGGAGCTGAGGGCCCAGCTCAGGAACCACCTCGGGCGCTCGACGCCCACCTCCACGGCCCAGGTGCACGCTGCCCACACCCTGAGGGCCCGCCGGGCTCTGTAAACCTCGTTCGGTGCTTTGTGACCACCAAGCGCCTCCTCAGGCCCATCCCCTGGACCCTCCTGTCCACTCCAGGCCTCACCTTCGCCCGCCCAGCAGAGGCCGGAGATTCTTGGCGAGTGACCTGGCGCTGAGCCGACCCCAGCGGGAGGGACTTCCCAGGGTTACCTGATGCTTGTCCTCGGAGGAAAAGGACACATGTGGGCCTCCAGGCCCTCCCCTCCCTGCTCCTCACCTCCCCACCCGCCTCCCCAGGCCCCCTTTGCCTCCAAACCCTCCTCTGGTCTCAAGCCCCCAGGTTTCCCGGTCCCCAGCCCATCGCCCCTGAGCCCTGGTGTGTCTTCTTCCCATCTCTCCGCCAGGCCTTCTCTGACGTCTCCCTGACTCTCCATTCGACGCCTAGAGCCCTCCAACCCCCTGCCGCCTCCTACCTGTGCCCGAGCCCACCTGGAAAGCAGGTACTCAGTGAGAACTGGGCCTTCTCCACCCGTCAGCCTCAGGGAAGGAGAGGGGCCCCTGGCTCTGCCCCAAGGCCCAAGCTCAGGCACCAGGAGCCAACACCCCTCACACTCCGACAGGGTGCCCTGCGCCTCCTCAGGAGAGTCGCTTTCTTCTCTGGCCTCAGTTTCCCCGTGTGTAGGAGGAAGCTTCCCCGCTCAGGTTTTCTCAGATTCTGGATCTGTTCTCACTGCAAAGCTACTGCCCCACGGAGAGCTGATGCTGGTTGGCACCCATTGTTCCGGCTTCAGGGGCCCGTGGGAGCATTTTCCTGCCGCCCAGCCAGGGACCCAGCCAGAGACCCAGCCAGAGACCCAGCCCGGAGAACAGAAGCTCAGCCATCTTTGCAGAAGCCAAAGGCTCTCACTCCCCGATTCCCAGCACCTGAGACTCTAGACCAGGAACCTGGTTGGATGTTAGCCAATCAACCTGGCAGCCCAGGTCCACCCACCTGAGAGGTCAGCTGGGACTGGGAGATGCTGGGGGAGCAGAGGGGGGAGGAGGGAGCAGGGAGCAGGTGAAGGGGGTTTCCGAGACCATGCAAGCGCGGCCAGCCCAGCATGCAAGTAACAGTCAAGTTGGGAGGGTGGGTGGGGTGAGGGCTGCCTCTGGAGGGGCCGGGAGTGCAGGGGCCTGTGTGCCCAGGCCAGTGGGGTGGGGATTAGGGCCTGACGCCCCGCTGTCAGGGCGCAGCTGATGGATCTCCACTGCTGGGAGCACAAAGACCGCTCTGTGGTGGCCCCAATGTGTTCCTGTC